TACTCATTGTTGTAAAATAAAACCCGATCTAAAATAGGATTTTATATTCCGAGTGGAGCGAAGAAGCTTGTGGTTTTACAAAGATATTTATTTATTATTATTTCTTTTTTTTTGTGGACAACTTTTCTACCAGCATTTTCTCTACAATTTATAATGATAGCAATTTTTCTAAAAGGAAATTTGACTGGATAAGTACTTTAAAGAGGTCGTTTTTCGATTTTTTCAGGAATTTTCTCAAACAATGTGGAAAACCACGAAAAACATGGAAAATCGGTGCATTAAACAAATTTGACGAAAGAAAATATACAATGCCTATTTAATCATTTTACCAAAATATGACATTTATATATATTGCTGACAAAGCGTCACTATCAATCGAACTCCGCTCAGAATCGTTTTTTCGTTAGCAATGACTTGTAGTTGTTCATAGGTATACATTAAATTACATATGACGGTGGCCGGACCCGACCCCATTACCCTAGGATATACTTTTTATGTTTGTGACGGAATCCAGTTATACATATTGACTACCTTTCAACCGTGATTTACAATATACGGGTTGTTTACATAAACTCGTTTAGTATAGAGACATTCGAAATTCCCCCATCGAGACTCCGATTCAGAAGAGAAAATCTTCGGCCGCGGCGGTGACGTTTTCGCGACTGACGTCTCTTAGGAGGAGTACTTATTAGTTAGTTATGCCTACATGTACAATATTATTAGGTACCTAAGCTCTTCGAAATTAGATTTGCATGTAACAACCGGGGATTGTTATTTGTTGTGGATTAAACATATACGTTTGGAAACACTAATCAACGCGCCGTTGCAATATTAATTCGAACCATACAGACGATTATTTAGAAGTATTTCTACCGCGTAACGATCCGTATATTTTTAAAAAAGTTATTATATTATGTGACAGAGATTTCGTTTGATATTTAATTATTGTAATCTATTTCATTTGCGCGGTCGACTTAAGCGATATACCTATAATATCCAAGAACGTTTTGATCGGGTACTATTAGGTGTAGGGATTTTTAGAGTTCTAGAGTTCAGATACATTAAAATATGCTTTGAAAAACGATGAAATATGCACAAAAATATGATCTAAGCAATTTTTTTTATTGCATTTTTGTACAAGAAATACAAGACATATAACTAATCTATTGCGATTTTTTTTATTATTAATGGTATTTACGTACAAACTTTATGTTTCGAGATGATTAATTTGCGAGTTATAAATCAATGCTTGTTTTTTAACTTAATTAACTATTTTACGATAATCTATTCGACTTATGATATACGTGTATATACGGACTATACGTATTGTATAAGACATGAGTATATTTCCTTTTATAACATTTAAAAGTTACATATTGCTAAAATATGCTATAAAAAAACAAAATCTGTAAAATATGCAAACATATGAAAATTAAATTTAGGACTTAGGTTTCTTCCATCGGTGCACTTGTAATCTCACACTTTTTTTTTTACGGAGCACCTTAAATTTAACGTAAAACTGTCAAGGCACCCTCAGTCAAAATCATTAATTATTTTTTTAAATTATATACTAAAATTGTATGTACTATTTCACAAAGATAAATTATTAAAATGTATAATAAATTAATGTTTTTTAAATATAATTCTGAAAAAACTTCATTTTTATAATAAACTTTAAACATGTATAATTACAAATAAATTGGTAATAAATATCAAACTTAAAATACAAATATAAAAATGAATCATTAATGACTATATAACCCGACCCTATTCAATTTTCAGTCAAAACCCTACGACCCCCCAGTAATATAGCCACTGTTACCTAGGGTACCGTGTCTCCCAATTCGAGAAACACTACCTTGCATGATGAATAGTGTTCGTGTTTGCTTTTTTTTTTTTTTTAAATCTTTCATAAATATAATATGCAGATTCCAATTGTCCTTAAACCTACTTGTTATATTTTACGAATATTTATTATGGATTAAATCTGCGGCGCGGCGGAGGACGGGACCATATCATTATTGTGTACTTAAAGGAGCAAAAATAACTCCGAAACAAAAGGTTTTAACCGAAACCACTATGTTGGAATTGTTGTTTGAATACGTACAGGTATACAGGTACAGGTACGATTTTCGTTGGTGTATTTTATTGTAGTGGATTATCAATTATTCAAGAACAATATTGCCGGGACAGAGCATCACGTTAAGATCTCACAAGTCGCAGGCCAAAACAAAAGCATTTATTATTTATATATTATGTACAGGGTGATTCTTTTATTATAAGCTAGTAATTGTCTCGGTTGAATTGAAGTGAATTTAATTTCTATTTCTTTTAATCGTTATGGAATTAGTTTAGTTTTGTTTTAACACTATTTTCAATTTTCACCCCTACTACTTATACCGGATATGAGTATCCACTTTGGATTTTTAAGTAGCTACCTACCTTTTCACAGATGCCAGCAGAGAATATTTTTCTAGAAATTTGATATGCATACAACTAATATCAGTATTACCATTTATGAGTTATACCAGTTTAAAATTTAGACCACGGAGGAGTAGAGAAAACTAATTGCACATCTATTTTTAAATGATAAATTAATATTTTTTCTCTACTATTCTGGCCTAAGTTTTATAATTCATAAAAATAAAGCTTAAACGATTCTATATATACGATTGAAAAACAAAAAAAGAATAACATTTGCTTAAAACCTTCCGAGAAAACGTCCGGTTCACGATAAAAGAATCATCCTGTATAACGTTTAAAATTATGTCAAACAGACGTTTTTACGTAATTTGAACGTACCTGCGAAAGCATCAGTCGAGTCCGGTGTAAACATCGTTTCCAGTTTAAATATTGTAAACACTATGTACGTGACTACGACTCGCTACGACTCGAAATTATTTATTTTAAATTATAATATGTCTCGATTTTTATCAGCTTAATGAATTTCATTTCGACGAATTAGGGCTGAACGTTTGTTGGGTAATGAATACTATATGACATGTTATTTGCATGGCTTGAATCGTACAAATAATAATTGTTTTTTTCAACACTATGGTAGCTAAAACGTTATGCATTTCACCGAATTTTAAAATACCAAACAATTTTATCGTTACCTATAATCTTTTACGTTAACCATTATTTTCAAATTAAACGTTATTTCAACTTTTTGTCTATCGTTTTTTTGACGTTTAACGTTATTGAAAACGAAGAAACTATTAATTATTAACTTTTCGCTATTATGATTGCTATGTTTGTGTGTCCCAATAAACGAAAAAACTAGGAGAACCGGAAAAATGTATGAAATGTAGGTATAAATAAAAGATATTACGGTCTATTTTTGTCCTGTGAACAAATTTTCTAGCAGCACTTTTGCTCCAATTTACAATGATAGTTTTTTTTCCGTTTTTGTTCAATGATTAAAACTACATGGGAAATTCAACTTATCAATTCGAATAAAAATACAAGAAATAAAGTTTCATGTTGTTTTTCTATTGGAGCAATATTTCTGGTAGAAAACATAGTTTGCAAAAATTGAAAACAATGCAATCGGTTACGCCGCGGTTTATCGTAAATATTTTCCGTTTTACCTATAATTGTCTTCCCGATTTTCCCAATTATTACAAAACCCCTCGAAAAATAAAAAATTGCCTCTCTAATACACTGTCTAGTCGAAATTTCTTTTCATCATAGTGTAACCAGATCTCTTGCCATACTCAGAATTTAAAAAAGTATCTGACAATAATAATTTTACCAAAGCTATTACTAAATTACAGAATGCATAATATTGTAGGTATTAACGAGATAAGTAGAATAAGTAGATAAGTGGATTATAGACCAAACATTTTGTAATTACATATTTGCCAATCACACAAATAAATACTAATATCTAATATTGTAAATTGACCATAGTTTTTTCAATTTTTTAAAAATTGTATGTTATCTTTCGTAACATGTTTTTTTTATAATTTATCGGTTTTTCGTTTTGGTTTTTGTTTTATTAAAACTGAACCAGAACTGGGGAAAAATCAGTTACATTATTAAAAAAAAAAAAAAAAAAAAATGGCGCAGTAATCATACGTCATATCCGATCGTTAGATACTGGTGACACTGACGGAACAACCAGACATATATCCGGATGTGTTTTTTGTTCTCTTACATTGTCGCTCGTCGAATATTCCACCGTTTCGTTTAATATTACCGTTTACCGTTTTCCGTTATCTATTCCAATTGGTTTTTTGACAAGTATAATATGTTATACGCATCTTCGAGCCCTGTTTATTTGAATGATTTTTGTTTCATTCTTGTCAGGCACATACAAGAGTAATGCCATAATATGTCATAGCCTATAGGTATACAATTTAAATAAAATATATACATAAAATACAATGAATAAAAAAATAAAAAAGGCGGACATACATCTGGGTGCAGCCACTGTTGTAGGTGGAAAGGTGGGAACGTAGGATACGGATAGCAATTTAATGTATATCTTTAAGTAAAGATAAACCATTGCTAACGAAAAAACGATTCTGAGCGGAGTTCAGTAGACAGTGTTGTTTTGTCAACAATACAACATAATATGGTAAAATGATTAAAGAAATATGCGTTTCGATGACGACAATGATTGTTTAAAAAAAAATTAAATAATAAAAACTTGATAATAACAAAAAATAAATGAAAACGGTTGCCAACGACAACCTTATTTTTAATCTTTCAATCTTTTTTAATCTAAGGACCGAGGTTTTCCTCATTATCTCGAATATTAATGAGAATTTCAAAAATGACTTCTTCAAAGTACAACCCAAAGAAAATTTCTTTTCAGAAAAAAAGCTATACTTGATTATTGAAGTATATTTTCTGATAGACAAAATGTTCACATAAAAAAAAAAAAAATAATAATAATACAAAAAATTAACATCATTGTTAAACCAATACATTCTCAGAATCTTAAATAGAAAATATAATATGTGTTATAATTTAGTGTTATAATGTTATTATTAGATGTATATAGTTCCGGCCCAGTAACGAGTCACGTTAATGATTTTTTCGTGTGTACTTTATAGGATGTTTTTTGGAGTATAGTATTTGTTGGGTCAAGCTGCCACGACGTGTTGTATTATATACAGTATGTATCATGCTTAATAAATAATATAGTATTCGTCTTTTTCGGCTTTTTTTTTTTTGGTTACATTTTAGTCGGATCATCGGCATTATTTATTTAGTTTGTCATTTAACTGTAAAAATAATTGAAATAATTAGTTCATCAAAATAATTCATAATAATGTATACTGTATCGATTATGATTCCAGAGTGAAACGGTTTTTTAAAAATTACAGGAAATAAACGCCAATTAATTTAACTATGACATTATGCCTAATTTTATTTTAAACATTAAGCATAACCCATGATAAAATCTGCGCGACACGTATAATTTTCTCGCTTAGCTAATAATCTAAAAAAAATTACACGTTCTATTATTACGTTCAAAAGTTTTTGAATGTGATTTGTGTGTTACACATAATATCATTAGATGAATTCGTTTTTCTAGTAGTTGAAAATATAATACTTTTACCGTATAAACGAATAACAATAATTCATATTATACAATAATTATTAGTCTGAATCAGTGTTGGGAAAGTTTATTTTAAAAAGCAATTCGTTCCCGTTCTTCGTTCTGACTAGATAATAAAAAGGAACTCGTTCATTTAAGCATTCCTTTTTCATATTCGGAGCGTAACGAGGGATCTATTGTATTTACTGTGTGTTTTTTTTTGTTTCTTAATTTAAATATATCATTAATTGGCTTAATGATTGATTGGCTTAATGTTAAAGGTTTTCACGAGTTATTTATTAGTCACTTCATGCTTATGTAGATACCTAATTTTCAAAAAAATAAAAAAAATAAATGTACCTAGTTGTTTGTAGTCAACTTAAATTAGAAACTGTTATTACTTCTTAGAATTTTAGAATTGACATGTTTAAAATTATAATAAACTAATTTAAATGTATTTCTTAGCCTATAAATAAAATGAAAAACCATATATGTGAAAAAAACAAAAAAAAAAAATTATCATTCTACTCGCAATTAATTTATTTCACGGTTATACACGTGTACAACCGTGCGGTTTATATTATCATAATATTACGTACCTCGTATAATGTTAATAAAAACGGAAATAATACATCGTGCCATTGCGGTAATTTATTACAGTAACTGACAAAATGATACCAACACTAAACTATTTCTAGACAATAATATCACTAAAATAACGTACGTTTCATTTTTTTTTTTTTTTTTTTTTTTAATAATCGGAGGAACGGCCATTTGCGTTCACGTTCCTGATAAATTGGAACTCTTTCCCGTTTCAAGCTTCGTTCCTGTATGATAGAAACGAACGCGTTTCTTCGCGACACTAGTCTTAATGTTATAATACGTATGCATTGCTGTGACGTGTTTAGGATCGTGTCAAATGTTACATTAATGCGGAAATAGGTGTTATTTTAATAACGGACATAATATTATAGAGTTGCAGCACTTGCAGCTTATGACGTGACGAGTGGCATTGTTGCAATTAATATTATGGAAAACGCATCGACGGAAACACATTATTATTGTGTATTATTTGGACTACTGTATTATTATGATTTGACGTTGTTAATGATTGTATACGAGTCTCGTCGTCCAATTAACAACGTGGCTACGTCAAAATCAAATAATTGGTCGAAATGCAAATAAACACGACCCACTGCGCGATGAGCGTTGTACGTCGTGCAACATAATATTATAACATAACATTAAAAAGCAGCAATATAATTTTTAATGTCATTTTGTTTTTTTTTTTTTTTTCAGCGTGCGTAGGTATTGCAATATGAATTAAAAAAAAAAAAAAAACGCCAATCGATTGCTTATACAATTCGTAAGTATAGCGAACGTGTCTAGAAGGAAAGTTTTTAATCGGTTCAAACGGTTTGGTTGCTAATTATTTTCGAACCATATTTGAATATTCGTAGGTGTCACTGGATGCCAGAAGTTTTATCTCAAAACTTTCTAAAATTTTTATTTCAAAACAAATTACGGTTTAGCGGAAAACGACCTATGGTGAATGTTAATACACAGATCCTAATGGTACCGAAAAATGTACACATTATTATCTATGCGGATGAATATCAATAAATTCGTACAAGGGTAACGGGTTTTATCGCAAACTTTTTCAATCGCGAATGTCTATCTTCTCATTCACGTTTACGCAAAATAAACACGTCATACCCTATAGATAACGTTATTTTCTTTAATTTTGATAACGATTTGATAACGAAAATAACATTGAAGAGTTCTTTTTTCTGTTTTGCGTGGACACATCAAGTTTTTGAACACAATTGCGTGACTATATAATAAAAAACGCCCGGGACAAAACTGATAATGACACGGGACTACTTGTGAATTCATTTGAATGTGAATATAATTTTGACTCGGTACATTTCAGATTTTGAGTGACAAATACTTGGCCAGTTTATCGAGCGATAATCGAATTGGATTTTTTATTAATTATATTTGCGAAATACGACCGACTTTTTTCATAAATGTTAACATTTAGTTAAATTACATTCTCTTCTGAAGCGATATTTCGTAATTCTAGTTAGTGCATAGAAATTAAATTTCTGCGACTACGAACTACGGTTTTCTATCAGGGTAATATTTTCAAAGAGACGCATTTGTTATGTAGATAATACGAAATTATTCTCTGAGAGAAAAACAATTTTCTCGAAACATTCACTTTGTGCTACATTTTAATATTATATGTTTTAATACGGCGGCGATCGTCCGGAAATTGTTTCTGGAACACAAAGATGAGGCACATTATCTAAATATGTTATAATCACACCGTGTTCTCGTTCATTTTCATAACGGACGACTAAGGCGAACTCAATATTTTACAGAGGCAATTAACAAACACAATATTTCCGACAGTTCCTCGATTGTTTATTTTACGTTTTTGTTTTATACCCCGAGAAATTTGTAACTTTTTGCATTGGTGTAAGAATCATTATTCGTGTTCAGAAATCGCGTATTTACCTTAGAACTAAAATCTACAGATTCTCAGAAAAAAAAAAAAAATTCAAATCAAACCAAACAGAAAATCAGATATTAATCTAGTATTTGAATAATTAAGTATTAAGTATTATGAATAATATTATCGTTGAAATAGAGGACTGCAGGAAACGAGCCGGAAAAAAACTATTTTAATCAAAAATCTATATATTATTTAAAACCTATGTCTATAAAATCAAAGCAATATTAGATTTTTTTTCCTTTTTTAATCAGTTTTTATAATATCAAGTCCGTTATAATTAACAATCATGTTAAATTTTGATTAGGTGAGGTTTTTTTTTCTGTAAATTACTTTTCTACAAACAATTTTGGTCCGATTTTCAAGTTTAACTGAAAGTAAATCTGAATAGAGTGAACATCAAAGAGTTATTTTTGTTATTTTCCCAAGGATTTTCATATTTAATGGAAAAATCTGGGAAAACTGGGAAAATTAACGAAATGCATTATTTTAAAATCGTAAATATAACGGTCTTTAAAAACATGTGTAACCGAACTCCACTCAAAATCGACTTTCAATAGCAATGATTAATCTTTGTATACAGATATATTCTTCTACCTTCTCAAATTCTCACCTACTACAGTGGCCCAACTACCAAGCGAACCTTGTCCGTTCGGTTTTTTTTAAAATTTTAAATCAAGATATCGGGAAAAAGATACTCATTACTATCATGATGTCCGTACTAATCGCAGATATGTTTAGATTAGAAAACAAACTGATATACTTCGCACGATGGGTGGGCCACTGTTATAGGTGAAATTTTGGGAAGGTAGGATGTAGAGGTGAGTTTAATTTATATCTGTACGCAACGATAAATCGTCAATCATTTAAAAAGATATGGAGAAAAGTTTCTTTTATACATGAACTTAAATTTTTCCGTTTTCCCTACGTTTTTTCTTGATTGTCCCAACTATTATGAAAACCGCTTAGAAAATTAAAAAAATGACGTCTTTGAAATACCAATTAAATTAAATCTAATTTCAGAAAATGTGCTACACTTGATACATCTGAGCATGATTTCTAGTAGAATAGGTGCTCATTGAATAAAAAAAAAAAAAAAATAAAATAAATTTAATTGTTAAACTTATATATTCTTTGCTACGCTTCGAATCTAAAAAATGTGTTAGTGTTATACATTATTGGGCATTTGTTTACAGGACGAATAGTAACAAAACGATTTTCTACAATATTTATAATAATATTTCATCGCCAATATTTAATATACATAGAGATCGTAGTCTGATTAAATTTATAAACCCATATATAATATGAAATATTCCATATTATGCACTCTGTCTCGTTTTCTAATGGCTTTTAAGCCGTCTCGTCAATTTAGTTTGCCGTTAAAAATGAGAGAAGTTTGAATATGGGCTATTTACCAATGATTTATCTATCTCTAAAGTTGGCAAAATTATGCCCGAGTTTCTTGACATTTCTGGTCTAACAAATGTAGTCACTTATCGTTAAGGATATGCCGAGTCCGGCCCTTTACATCAACTCGTGAAATATCCCCGTACCTAAACGTAATTCGTAAAGTTTCTAATTTGACTAATTTAACAAACTTGATCTATAAAATGGTATCACTAAATCTATCAGCGGAACTGAATATGTAAACAATTTAAATTTAAATTTCAACACATTAAAAAAAAAATATGTATAAATATTTTATAAGAAAATACGATTCCCAAAGTTTTGGTTTTTTAAAATTAAAGATTTATTTACGTCAGAGGTCGACGAGACTACGACTTTGTGGTAGGATATTTTGAAAAAACAAAAGACCCGCACATCCGAAAGAGCTTCTGCAGCAGATTTAAGTTATAAATAACTGAGCATCAAAGCGCCGATGTTAATAGTTTTTATTGTTTTAAATTAGATTTTAAGTACAAATTTCGAGTTGTAATATTTTCGGCGTTACGACCACAAAATGCGAATGTTTCACCAAATACGAATATTAAAGCTACAATTTAAAACGTTTTATTATGCACAATCAACAAACATTTTTGATTACGAAAGACTATAGTACACGATCGTTAATAATTGTACTAATAAATCGTTTTCTCGGAAAAGGTATTAAAATTGTTCAAAAAGTTTCGTCCAACAGCATACGTTTTATAGACGGTC